TAATTTTTAATTTTATTGTAGCGATGGGGGTCTCACTATGTTGCCCAGCTGGTCTCAAACTCCTGGCTTCAAGCCTCCCAAAGTTCTGAGATTACAGGTGTAAGCCACAATGCCTGGTTCCCACTTACTCCTTTCTTATTTTCTTCCTTTCTTTCTTACACAGATATTCATCAAGACATAATGTGCCATTTCCTCATGAATATTTCAGAATACTCTTTCCTATACAGAGAGTTTTAAAACTCATCCAAACAGTCAAGGATACTTTCAAGGAATTAGAACAAAATGCAAATATCAATGAACAATTTTCCTCCAGCCTGGACTTCTGCATCAAATTTTTTTTCTCATTATTCTGTTATATCTCTTTTCCACTAGCTTTGCTCAACAAATAGACATTAACATCTGTTAATGCCATGTGTCGTTCTACAGGAATGAGGATAGATTGTGGAATTGTAACTAATGATCTAATATAAGTGAATGTTCTATGTAGAAGACAAAGATAAAAAAGATCTTTTAGGTTTTTAAAAAATATATATTGTGTTGCATTTTAGGTTCTTGGGTACATGTGAAGAACATGCAGGATTGTTGCATAGGTACATACGTGGCAATGCTGTTTGCTGCCTCCATCCCCTTCACATATATCTGGCCTTTCTCCCCATGTTATCCCTCCCCAACTCCCCACCTCCCACTGTCCCTCCTCTAGTCCCCGCTCACAGACCTCAGTGTGTGATGCTCCCCTCCCTGTGTCCATGTGTCCTCATTGTTCAACACCCACCTATGAGTGAGAACATGTGGTGTCTGATTTTCTGTTTTTGTCTCAGTTTGCTGAGAAAGATGGTTTTCAAGATCACCCATGTCCCTACAAAGGATATGAACTCATCGTTTTTTACAGCTGCATAGTATTCTATGGTGTATATGTGCCACATTTTCCCTGTCCAGACTATCATTGATGGGCATTTGGGTTGATTTCAAGTCTTTGCTACTGCTGTAAACAGTGTTGCAATGAACATATGTGTGCATGTGTAAAAATATCTATTAGATTTTTAATTCAAATCCTAACAGTAAGATAGTCCATGTGACAGAAATTAGCTATGCAATAATACTGAGAGTCTTCCTGCTAATCATATTCTTCTATGGTCAAATATTATCTCTCTCTGAAAAAGTATAGTATGGTTTGTCTCCAAGTTTTAAAAATTCTATGAGGTGTATGCCTTGATGAATGTATGTTTTCATCTATTGGCCTAGACAATCAGTGGGTTTTTGAATCTGGAAATTCTTGCTTTTCAGAAGTGGAATTCTTTCTTGGTTTATTGTGTGTGTGTTTTTTTAATTTCTGTTTCTGGATCACTATTATTCAGAATTTGTTCTTCTACTAGCTCATTCTCCAATTGAAACTTTCCTCTATTTTTCAACAAAAAAAAAGTTTCTGCTTTACTTTCTGAAAGATTTTTCAAATTTATCTTTCTCTCTTTTCATTTGAATTTGTCATCTCTATTTTTATTTTTATACTTTAATTTCTAAGAACACTTCTTGTCTTCTAGTTTTTAAAAAATTGCGAATTTGTATTCTGTTCTTGTTTCAGTGAAGGAAAATCTCTCTCACACTTGTTAATCTCTCTCTCAATCATTAAGACAGTTTTTTACAAACTTACTTCAACCTGAATAACCTTTCTCCTCAAGTTGCTTTTCTTATATTTGTTTATTTTGGTCTCTTTTATGAAAGAGATTTTTCTCAGAGATCTGGTGATCACGGTGCTCTGTTTATAGTTAAGCATAGGCATTCAGTAACTTATTAGAATTCTGTACCCATGAGATCAGCTGGTTAACCATGGACTTTATTACAGCTGATCAGATTTCTCAGGGAAGAATATTCCAGGTTCAAAATGATCTGTCCCTTTCTGGGAGCTGAGTGGGTCACCATGGTGCATGTAGGCTCTCTCTTCCCCTCTTTCCAGTATGACATTCCCATGCTGTCTGGTGTCTTCCAATACAGAGACACCGTGCTTTGCTTTCTTCCTTGTTTTCTCTCTGGAAAGATGAAACATTTCACTCAGCCACAAAGATTCTAGTGATATGGGGATTTACCTACCTCTTTGAGTCTAGTGATAAGGAGATCTAACTGCTTCTTAGAAGGCTTTCAACAATCCCATTGTTTTAACCCATGCTCACTTTCAGCCTTCCAAAAATTTTGAGGTTCCAGATGGCTCTGCAGTGCTCCATACTATCTTATTCCTTCCGTTTTCTTTCAGTGTTCTAAGGCCTAGGTTGATTACAGGTCACCAAAGATTATGTTAAAAAACAATGTCCACAGCCAGATAGTTCTTCAAAAGAGTTCTGAGCCCTAAATTATAGACATCAGGTGTTTTATATATGACATCCAATGTTCACATTCAAATTTATCATTAACAAAAATCAGGAGCACACACACAGTAACAAATATATTGATATGCCACTTGTTTGTTATAGATCGTCTATTGATTTCCACCTGATAATTTATTTTGACATGCAAACTATTTCAGAATTTACTTTAAAAGATATAAATTATAAGTTAATCAAAAGTTCTTATCAAACTAGGTATATTAGAATGACCTAAAGTAATATACACCTTAGATAAACATTTCTCTAATACCATTAATCATGACACATTCAAATTAAATGATTCAAATAAATGATTTAGTATCACATCTTTTAATCTCAGTGTCATTTATTATTAAACTGCATGTCCAATAAATTGCTATGTGTATTGCCAGACATGCAGTTATAACTTTGCCCTAATGTTTCTCTCTGACCTAAGTAAGGCAATAATTAAAATATTTGATTAAATGTGTTCTACTTGTACAGCTGTAGTTTCTTTTTCCTGGTAAAGGAAGCAAAACGCTGTTAATTGCTATAATTCTTACTGTCAAATTAATGAAAAGTTTTTGCCACATATATTAATAGCATTAGCCATAAATGCAAAGTGAGCAAATATAAATTTAAAAAGCAACTTAATATTTTCTTTTATAAACACAGAGTGCCTTCTTTTTCACATTCAATGTAATTTTCACATGTAAAATTATCTCTAAATATAGTTATATTTTCCTATTATATATCAAAATTTCTACTGCATATTTAATTTTGGGCCATTATTCTTTTATTTTTTCATACCTATCGGTGTTCATTTAGAAAATATTATTTTAATATTATATATATTCATACATGTTTTATAAGATGTAGATAAAATGGAAAGAAAAAATAAATTTAGTTGGATCTTTTTGCAGCTTAAATTTTCTAATTTTATAACATAGATATATTTTATAATGTATATATAATTATATCTTAGACAATGTTGATAAAGTTTAAAATATAGATTAATTTTATGAAATGTAGATAAAACAAATAAAAATAAATTTATTTAATTGGATATTTATGCAGTTTAAAGAGCACAGAACTTGCTTCAGGGGACTTGGTTCTGAAAGATCAACCATTATGCAGATGTGATAGAGTCAACACAAAGTTAATCTGTGAGGGTTTCCATGTTTATATTATCCATAGTGTTCTTCATGTACTAGGAGATCAGTGAATCTTCTAAAACTACAAACCATCGTAATTGGGTGTTTCAAATCAAAGAGGAAGAAGGTAATTACAATGCTTATATAATCAGAGATATCAATTTCCTTTAAGGAGTGCCATTGTCTCCTATTATATTCTCATATCCAAGTTTGAACTGGATAAAATACATAAAATATCTGTTTAATATGTTTGTAAATATGAGAAATACTATTATTCGATTTTAGACAGCAAATGGTGCAAGCCTGTAAAATCTGGGTATATGGAAAAAAAATAATCGTCCTGGCTTTGTATTTGGGGACAATACACTTATGTGAGCCCAAACGAAGCAAGTAGTCTCTCTGAGCAAAGATAGAAATTGGAGTTTGACGTGACTAAGATGACTGAAATGTACCAGCAGGGTACTGAAGAAACAAAATGCTACACGAAGTAAGAAATACCTATCGGAGGCTCCTTGACTCTTTGGGCAAATACTAAGTTGCATCTTGACAGGGAAAGACTCCACAGTGTGGGCAAAACACCACCAGGGAAGGAACAGCTGCTTAGGAACAGTAACTAGAGGTGTATGAGCCATGTCCTCATGCTGTCATCTGTGCTTTCAGAATCTGCTGGAGCTAACCCAGGAAGTCCCCTGCAACAGTTGCAGCCATTTTACATGTCCAAGAACAGGGCATGAGATATTCTTTTCTTCAAATATTTGGCATCATCATAATTTTCATTTTTCCATTGACGTCTGTGAAGTCATATTCCATTGCTATTTGGAATTTTATTGATTTCTCATGAGGTTCACCTCATTTACATGTTTGTTGAACATTTGAGTTATTCTATAAATTGTCTATTGGTATTTCCAAATTATTTATTTCATAGTTTTTTTTTTTTTCTTTTAGGTTTTTTGTCCTTTCTTATGTTTATAATGTAATAACCTACCCTGGGCTAGCATCACTGACTCCATCTTAGCTGTAAACTCCAGCCTACCTTCCCTCTCCCTACCACAGCCCTTCTGTGTACATAACTGGGTCACGCTGGACTTAGAAGTGTTGAAGGCACTGTTCTTAACACTTTAACCATTGTAACCACATCCTGTTTCACATACCCCTCTGCAACTGTAAGAAAAAAATTTCCCTTTAATCATTGTGTAGCAGGAGACTAATCGCCTCACTTCTTGGTGATTGTATGGAAAATACCTGTGCACACAGCCCCTTCCTCTAATCTGCTTTTCTGCTTCTGTAAAATTCCGCTTTAGCTAGTTACCCCCTCCCCATACCTAAATCAAAGCATAAAAAATAATCAAGCCCCTTCCTCAGGGCCGAGAGAATTTTGAGCATTAGCTGTCTCTTGGTCGCCAACTAATAAAAGAATTCTTGATTTGGAACTCCGTGTGGCGCATTCCTTCTAACTCACTCAGTTACTACATTCGGAGGCCCCCGCTAGATATTCGCCACTGGGTGAAGACCAGGCTCATTCTGGGTTCCCCCGAGCTGAGAGGTGGGCTATAGGGGAGGCACCCCCTGAGATGTTCCAGGGCCCCATAGGCCACCCCTTGTCGGAGGAGAGCGGATCGACTCCTGGCACACTTCTCCAAATTATTCTTCCAAGTCCCTGGTCCTGCTCCATGGAGAAGGTAAGTCAGGCCTGACCTGATTATTTCTGGAAGTTACAGGGATCATCCAATTACTGGGATGCCAGAATTGACTACAGTGATCCCTGTGACCTTGGGCTGTGGGTGCCCCAGAGTCCCTGGTCCTGGTTCTGGTTTTTGGACTCTGGGTGTCTAGAGTTCCTGGTTCTGTTTCTGAACTCTGGGTGTCCAGGGTTCCTAATTCTGTTCTGTCTTTGAACTCTGGGGGTCTAGAGTTGCTGGTTCTGTCTGTTTTTGAATTCTGGGTGTCTGGGGTCCCTGGTTCTGTCCTACTGTCTGATTTAGAGGGGTTCAGCTCTGACAAGGGCACCCCTCTGGACTCTGTCACCACTTCAGAATGCTGGAGGACAGGATCCCTGGTTTCTGTCTAATTTAAAACATTTATAAACAAGATAAAAATTTCTCTAGGGCTCAAACTGTTTACAAAGTGCATAAGACTGTAATAACCTCTGAGTGCACGTGTGTGTGCATGTGTGAGTGTGTGGGGACTTTAGAGGCTTGTGTCTAAGGATCCAGTTTGTGGCTTCACAGCAAAAGCTATGGAGTACGAGTGGGCCCCAACCTGCAGTTCTTTGGTAACGTCATACAGCTTAAAGACAGCATCAGACTAGTTTCACAGCATTGGACTAGTCCTGATCCGAGTCCGGGGTTTATACCGACCTGTCTGTGTCAAGAGGCACCTGCGACCCTGTAAGGGGAGTGGCCAGGTGGGCATCTAAGGGTTCCCAATATGGGATTCCCCTCCCTTCATCTGTCCTTTTAGAATAACCACAATCATTTATCTACCTCAGTGCCTTATCTACCTCACTGTTCATTGGGCTGTTTTGTGTCCAAGTTTGTGTGTCTTGTGTTTGCTGTTTTTCTCACTGTTAACGTGTAAGTTACATGTCACATTGCCGCTATTGTCCAAGGCGGTTAGGCCAGAATTTCTTTAAGGTCCTTGCTAAAGACCTCATCCTGCTGGATACCGTCTCCCTCATCTGTCACCTGGACTGGTCACCCCAAGACTGTCTTTTCTGTGAAAAGGGAATTAAGTGTTGCTACGGAAGGCTTGTACAAAACATTTGGGAGGTCGTTCTTCTGTTGGGGATTTTTGGCATCATAAGGGTTGCTGGAAGTTGGATTGTCATGAGCCATGTCCCAGGGACTGGTGTGACAGTCTTGTAGACCACTGGTGGATTCAGAACACCCACCCTGCTGATCTCTTGGCCCACCTTTTCTGTCATCCCACCACTTTTCCTGTGCCTTTAGATAAGCCCCTGTTTAAGGAGACCTATGCCTTTTTAGCTCTACAACTTTTCCAATCCTATAATGCTCCTGGGTGGGACCTCACTGTCAGGTGGTACTGGTGGGATCATTCTGGTGGTCTTTTTTTTTTTTTGAGACAGAGTTTCGCTCTTGTTGCCCAGGCTGGAGTGCAATGGCGCGATCTCGGCTCACCGCAACCTCCACCTCCTGGGTTCAGGCAATTCTCCTGCCTCAGCCTCCTGAGTAGCTGGGATTACAGGCATGCGCCACCATGCCCAGCTAATTTTTTGTATTTTTAGTAGAGACGGGGTTTCACCATGTTGACCAGGATGGTCTCCATCTCTTGACCTCGTGATCCACCCGCCTCGGCCTCCCAAAGTGCTGGGATTACAGGCGTGAGCCACCGCGCCCGGCCCCTCTGGTGGTCTTTATCCTCCTCAACCTCACCCCTTACCCCGGACTCACCTAATTCCCTTATCACACTAGATCCAGTGTCTCCAGGGCCTGGCTCTCTTATCTCTCCTCCAGCCCATAGCTGACAGAGCCCAGTTCAAGGTCTCTGTCTTTGAGATGTGGAGACATCAACAGACATCAATGGTATCTTGGGTATAAGGCCAAAAGAGCTCCCAAACCACCCCGGAAACCACTAGGTCCCCCTAAGTACCTTCCATAATGGGCTCTGCCTCTTCGTGACCCTCTACACCCTTCCAGTGCATGTTAAAGAATTTTACTTTAGGTTTTTCTGGAGAGTACAGAGTCTGCCTTACAAAAAGCAGGCTCCAAACTCTGCGAAGTGGAATGGCCAAAGTTTGGAATGGGATGGCCCCAGGCTGGGTCACTGGATTTTAAAACAGTATAGGCGGTATGTGAAGTTGTTACCGGAACACCTGGGGACCCTGATCAGTTTCCCTATATTAACCAATGGCTGGACCTAGTCCAGAATCCCACTCCTTGGCTACAATCCTGCACCATCATAGTCCCTCATCCAGGGTCCTTCTAAGCTGAACCTCTCTCCCTTGCCCAAACCCCTGGCTCCCTCCATTCCTCCTGTGTTGCCCCCTTCAGAAGAGGAAGACAGGTCCCTTCTTTTGCCTCCACCTTATAATCCTCCACCACCCTCACCTCCATCTCACTTGGGATCCCCTTCTGCCCCTTCAACCTCATCTCCTGTGGCCTCTCCACTGCTGCCAAACTCTTAACAGACAGCTTCCATGGATCCTTTGCCCATCACCTCCAGGCTATGGCCCCAGGCAGAGAAGGTCGCTCCATTGCTTCCCCTAAGAGAGGTACCACCCCCTCCGGGCAGTGGGCAGGCCGGCTCATTTATGGTCCACATTTCCTTTTCTACTTCTGACCTGTACAATTGGAAGGCTCAAAACCCACCATTTTCTGAGAAACCCCGGGTCCTGACTACACTGGTGGAGTCTGTGTTCCAAACCCACTGACCCACCTGGAATGATTGCCAGCAGCTTCCTCTAACCCTCTTTACCTCTGAGGAAAGGGACCACATTCATAGGGAGGCTAGAAAGAATTTCCTTCCTCAGCAGGCAGGCTGGAGAAGGAGGCTCAAAACCTCTCAGAGGAAGTTTTTCCCTCTACTCAGTCAAATTGAGACCCAAACACAGTGGCAGGGAGGAAAGCTTTGGATGAGTTTCACGAGCATCTCCTAGTGGGTATTAAGGGAGCTGCTCAAAAGCCCATGAATTTGTCTAAGACAACGGAAGTTGTCCAGGAGCCCAGTGAGTCCCCTGGAGCATTTTTAGAGCACATCCAGGTTATCAAACTTATACCCTGTTTGATCCAGTGGCTCCCGAAAACAGCCATGCTGTTAATTTGTCATTTGTGGTCCAGGCACCTCCTGACATTTGAAGAAAGTTACAAAAGCTTGAGGGATTTGTTGGAATGAACAATCCACAACTCCTAGACATAGCCCAAAAAGTTTATGACAATAGAGAATTAGAAAAACAGAAACAGGCTACTTTGGCAGCTGAAAAAGCATCTGATAAGGCATCACAAAAGTAGGCAAAAATCATAGTAGCTGCAATCTGGGAAGCTGAAGTACAGAACCCTGCACGAAAAAGTCATCCTGGGGAAAAACCCAACACCCCCACAAGAAAAAGGGAAAAATGCCCCTGTTACATAATCAGTGTGCCTACTGCAAGAAAATTGGACACTGGAGGAGGGAGTGTCTAAAAAGGCTTGAAGGGAAAGTTCTCACTCTTCTGGAAGCCAGAGAGTCTGAGGAGGATTGACAGGGCTGGAGCTCCCTGCCCCTCGGCCCCTGGGAGCCCATGGTTACTGCTACGGTGGGGGACCGGCCTGTATGTTTCCTAGTCGACACTGGGGCGGAGCACTCTGTATTACAAGCCCCTTTTGGTAGTGTCTCCAACAGAAAGATTGCCATGCAGGGTGCCAAGGGATCTATTCGGGAATACTGGTTTACCCATCTTGTAATGCCAGAGTGCCCTTTCCCCTTCCTCAGATAGGACCTACTCCATAAGCTACAAGCATCTATCTCCTTCTCAGCAGATCAAGTCCACCTCACACTGGGGACCACAACACCTCCCTCTGCTCAGCTCCTACTAACTGCCCCCTTATCAGAGGAGTACCTCTTAACCCCCTCCTTGCAACTGGTGAAAAATGAGGTTAACCCCCTCCTACAGAATCTACAAACTCCTTTCCCCTGAGTCTGGGCAGAGTCAAATCCTCCCAGACTGACAAAACACCACCCACCAGTAGTTGTAGAACTTCTGGCCACTGCTCTGCCAGTTCAGGGAAAACAATACCCTGTAATTCAGTGGGATTGAGAGGGAATCAACCCTCACATTCAACTGCTATTACAGGCCAATGCACTCACACTGCCGGTCTGCCTGGAACATTCCATTTTTGCCAGTCAAAAAGCCTAGGAAAAATGATTACCAGCCAGTACAGGACTTGTGGGAAGTCAACAAGTGGACAGTCACAGTCCATCCAGCTGTCCCCAATCCATATACTCTCCTCAACCTGCTCCTGCAAGAACATACAGTATACACAGTCCTTGACTTAAAGAATGCCTCTTCGCCTTCCCTTTGGCCCCCCAAAGCCCACCAATTTTTGCTTTTGAGTGGACAGAGCCTGGCTCAGGTGATACCACTCAACTCACTTGGACTCTGTTGCCCCAGGCGTTCAAAAATTCCACTACTCTTTTGGGGGAAGCCCTCCAGCAGGATGTAATACCCTTCTGAGCCAGCCATCCTGATTGTACTTTGCTTCAGTATGTAGATGATTGGTTACTGGCTACCAAAACTACTGGCAGCTGTCTGCAATATACTAAAGACTTGCTTCATCTCCTCCAGGAACTTGGGTATCGGGTCTCAGCCAAAAAGGCCCAGCTTTGTCTCTCCAAGGTCTCCTACCTGGGGTATGACATAAACAAAGAAAAAAGGGCACTCGCCAATGCTTAAAAAGAGACTATCCTCCATGTCCCCACTCCTACCACCAAGAGACAGGTACATGAATTTTTTGGGGCCACGAAATACTACCGCCTGTGGATACTGGGTTTTGCAGAAATCACCAAGCCTCTGTACATGGCTACAGGCAGCAATAGTCCACTGGTTTGTACTTACACGGAAGAGCAAGCCTTCCAAACCTAAACTTGTTATGGCTCAACAACGAACATTTTATGCAAACCACTGGTCCATGAACTACACTTCAGATGGCAGTAGATAAAACAATGCAGATACTGTGTATAGGAA